CAACAGAAACTAGAACCAGTGCAAAAGACAGAGTGATAGACTTCCTAGTCCATGAAACAAGAAAAGCTGAGAGCCTTTGTCTCTGAGGTTTCATTGCAGAGTTGAGTGCCTCCTGATACTTACTTGGGATTAGAGCTGGGTTTGCTGACTCCTGGAGTTAGAGCCCAGGGCCTTCAGGATGAGGATTATGGTGGAATGGTGTGTCCTATCTGCATTTATCAGCAGTCATAAAAGAATGTTGTAATGGAGGCCTACCAGAGAGAGACCAGCCTGTGGGCACAGCTAAGAATGGCTTTCCTGACTGGAACAATTGTGCCCAGATAATCTCTCATCCTTCATTGTAACCTATTAACATCCCTAACAAACCCTGTAACTGTGAAAATGGTGTCTGACTTCCATGTGGCCATTATAATGAATGATCAGACCCAGATGAGAACTAAAAGGTTTTCAGAGGAGTCATATATTTTTGCAATTTTTCACAATAGTGGTCACATAGTATTTGCCATGTTGTGACTCATTTCACTCCTTATAAGACAGTATGGCTGGACTTTGTCTCTCATACTTCCCACCTATTATCAGGAGGGACCAGTCCCTGGAGAAAGGCATCATGACAGTTAAAGCAGAGGGTCAGTGAATAAAGGGAAGATGCCCAATGAGGTGGTTTGGAACAGTAGTAACAACAATGGTTTCAAACGCATCGTGAGATTGACACGTGATTGTGAGCGTGATAGAGGACTGGGCAGTATTTTATTCTGTTGTGCATAAAGTTATTGTGAGTTGGTACAACTCAAAGGCACCTAAAAACAACAGCAGTTTCACTCAAAATAAAGTCCTCTAGGCAATTTCATTCTATCAGATGTTTTGCAGAATTGCCATTATTATTTAACATGATGTCGTATTTCCATGGTTTGTATGTAAGCAGGAACAATAGGAAAAATAAGAATGGAAGAGGTAAACAGGAAGAGGAAGCAAGAAGAGTGTTGTTACATTGTGAGAAATGTCACAAAACAATTTGCTTTTCAAATGTTGAATGAAACACTGATTAGTTTTTAAAACTTTTAACCAAATCAATAAAAAGTGTGTTGTTGTAGTTGCTATTGCTAGGTGCACATGAGTCAGTTCTGACTCATGGTGACCTTATGCACTATAGAAGGAAAGACTGTGCATTCAGACTACTAATCATGTCACTTTGAAGGCAGTGGACAACTGTCTAAAGTCTAACATGAATCCATTAGTACTTAAGCTTTCATCCTTGGGATCATGCCAAACAATCTACCTTTTAAATTAATCCTCCAGGATGATCAAACGTTGCATCATTTAAATGACCTATATATGAGATATTCTGAAATTATTAGATGAAGAGAGAAGGGGTGCTCTGCTCATGTTTGTAATAACTCTCCAGTATTTATTACATATGTCATTTCTACGTGAACCTTACACCTGAGTAGGAACTGAACAAAATTTGGAAATAGGTTAATTTTATCTCAGGAAGAAAATGCACACAGGAAAACATACACCTAAAGATTCTGAAAAGAAATTATTATCATGTGACAGATATTGTCATTCCTTAAATAGTTCATATATTTTATTTGGAATAAAAAAATTACTATGACAAAATTTTAGACAGGTAACATAGGAAGAAAAAAATCCCACCACCTTTGGCTCTGGTAAGTATTATACTTAAAATTGGAGAGTTTTATGTCTGAACAAGGGGCTCTGATGGCTCCGTTAAAGGCTCACTGTTAACCAAAGGGTCAGCAGCCTGAACTCACCAGATGCTCTACTGGAGAAGATTTAGCAGTAGACTTACAAAAATGACAGCCTTGACGACCCTAAGAGGCCGTTCTACTCTGTCCTAAAGTGTATGTGTGAGTCAGAGGCACCTTGATAGCAACAGTTTTCATTTGGTTTAAGTCATATCAGATCAAAAGGAGACTGTTTATATATATAAATATATCTATTGATGTTGTCAAGTGCTGACTCGTTAGTTCCATTTCATAGCAATCTGTATAGGGTTTCTGAGATGAAGAAGATGGGTTTGAATAGCTGAACTTTTGCATAGCTCTACACCAGGACCAAGCTGTAGAATAAGCACTAGTCAGCTAACCACACAGTCAGAGGTTCAAACTCACAAGTCACTCCTCAGATTCCCTATACAAGATTGCTCTGAGTTGGCACCTCTTAGTTGGCACCTTAGCATTGGCACTTAACTTGTTCTTTTTAAGTGCTGCCCCATAGGTTCTGACTCATAGCAACCCTGTATATGGTTTTTGAGAGAAGCTAGTGTGTTGGAGGGGCTGGTGTGTTTGAACTACCAACTTTGTCATTAGGAGTACAGTACTTATCTTGTAGCTCCACAACAGAACTGTATATGAATGTGCATATATGTGGATAGACAGATAGATAGATAGATAGATAGATAGATAGATAGATAGATAGATAGATAGATGTTGCTGTTAAGTGTTTTCAGGTGTGTTCTGACCCATAGCAACACTGTGTAGGATTTCCAAACAGCAGCTGGTGGGTATCAGTTACAGACCTTGTGGTTCAAACTGACCTTGTAATCCAGCGGATTATCCTGCAGAGCCTCACCAGGACTCCATATATCTAGATTGTTGTTGTTAAGTGCTGTCCATTCAGTTTCAACCTATAGCTACCCTGTACAGGTTTCCTGAGGAGCCACAGGTGAGCTTGAACTGCCAACCGATATTGCAACCCAGTGTATTAAGCTGTAGCACCACACCAGGAATCCGTATGTCTAGACAGTAAGAAATAAATTTAAATATATAAAAAGTATGCATGTATTTCTCTCTCTCTCTCTCTCTCTCTCTCTCTCTCTCTCCATATTTGTTGTTGTTGTTACATGCCTTGGAACTGGTTCTGACTCAAAGTGACTTTGTATAGGGTTTCTGAGGAGTGGTTGGTGAGTTTGAACTACCAACTTTGAGGTTCAAAAGACCTTGAGGTTGAATGCTTAACCTAAGGCACCACCCCAAGACTTCTTCTCTCAACACAAAAACTGGTATTTGAGTAAACACATACAAAGAGCTGATAGAGTCAGTAATATGAGAACAATATTAATATATAGAAAATGTAACTTCCAGAAGGTATTTGATGCTGAATTGTGATGTTAAGCAAACAAAATTCCTTATTCAAATAAATATTCTTTGGTTTATATATTTAATACACTGCAGAAAGAAATAAAAGATTGACCTTTCTTATTTGCCAGTTGTATTAAAACATAACTGGAGAAAAAGTATAGTAAATGATGCATTAAAATGACGTCATATCATTGCTCACCACACATATATAATTTTATCGAGCTTGTGAAATTAATTATAATTAAGAATATAGTGTTAAGAGCATGCTTTTAGTAATAAGACAACCATGGTACAATCACTGAGTCAGCATTTACTGCCTGTGGCTTTAGATGAGTTACTCAAACTTCTTGACAATTTTCTTATCTAAAACTGTGTCTAACAGTAAAATTTATGGTATGATATTTCCTGGGGATTAGAGTTGTAGCATAGTGGTTGAAAGACAAATTACTAACCTCAAGGTCAGCAGTTCAAAACTACCAGCTATTTCACTGGAGAAAGCTGAGGCTTTCTGCTCTTGTAAGTATTTATACCCTAGGAAACCCTACACAGGATCACTATGAGTCAAAATTGACTCCAAGGCACATAACCACCAACACCATCAAAGTTGTTAACAAAGAGAAGTACTGACAATATTGGTATTTAAATTCTAATTATGTAATGTATGTTACTTTTTATTATACAGTATCCAATGTCATCTTATAACCATCTTTATGTATGGTAATAAAATTAAGATTTTGTCCAGTCATATTTTGTAAATTACTCTTAATTATCAATTTCTGGAAAGAGAGAACTTTATCTTTTTAAATGTCAGGTAATTCATATAAACCAAAACCAGTATGAAATCACTGATGCTGAATATTAACTTTAATCTGCTATAGTTTACAGAATTTACACACTATGAGGAGAAGAAATAACACT